CTGGTTGGGGTTGGAAAGAAGTATATATTAAACTATATTCGCTGCACTGCTAGGCATTGTACATGCCCACGTAAGACGCTACGCATTTTGACGACTTTAGCCACGTGTCAGACACGTAACACGCCATGTCATGCAGCATTTTACGTGGAAACGTGCCACATGTCAGTAACACACCATGCAACCCAGCGTTTTATGCCAGGTGGACTGCAACTTCAAACTGGTTAGCCTGACACGTTGATTGGCATACATGCTGGACAGTCTAGTGATTTAGGTGGCCTCAAACTAGATGTCACGTGTTCAGACCTAACTCGCTAGGTATTATAACGGATTAGATGATGTGACATTTTAGAAAATTCTTACTGGAGCATGGCAGTCCAGTAATTTTTTGCCAATAATATGGCAAAAGGGTCGTTGTCCCTCAATTCTATTTGTTTCTGTACATGGGACTAATCTGAAAGCGTGTTTAATTTTCCAAAGCATATCACATTTTTGTTTACCTATTAGTCATATAATACTGTGATTAAGTTCAATTAATCATATTTTAATAATCAATTAAAAGAATTCTAAGTTCTAAATAAAAAAAACATCCATAGAGAAATTACGATTTAAGAAAAAAAAACTAGAACGAAGACGGAGTTTACAAAATTTCCCAATTTTTTTTATATAGTTTGCCCTAACCACCTTTATCTCTTCTCTGGTGGATCGCCACTGTCACTAGCCTGAAAACCAAACCACGTCGTTACCTAGTCGGCGACACCACCCTCGTTGGCCGGTGGTCCCAGCCACTTCAGTTGTCGGCGGTCCAAGCCACTTCAGTTGCCGGCGACAAAAGAAGAAGGAAGAAAGAAGAAGAAACCATTTCCTTCATTCATTTTAAGCTCTTTGTCTCAATCACTTTGGTCGCTCATATTGGTAAACCTGAATCCTGGAAGTAGCAGTATCAACTTTAACTCAATTGGTAAACCTCATATTTGATTAGAATTTTCTCAAAATTTTAACTTTGGCCGCTCATGTGAGTTTGCAATTTTGGATTGTCATTTTTGCATTGTTTTCGAAGGACGAAGAAAAAAAAGGAAGTTTGAAAAATAGTTAAGCATATTTGGATCCTTTGTTTTTAAGTTAGAAGTTATTTATAAGTTAGTATGTGTTTGGATGGGCTTCTTGCACTCCACAAGCTACTTTTTTTTTTATAAAAAAAAAGACCTTTTAAAAATTCTAGCTTATTTGGATGTGAACTTTTAATAAAAGAAAGAAAAAAAGTTAAAAAGCCAAAATTTGTCTTTTTTAAAAAGCTAAAAATGTTAACTTTTGAAATAAGTAGAAGCCAAAAGCAACTAAAAATTCTCATTACCAATTTTACCCATCTCTCTTCCAGGATCCATCTCAGTTGGGAGCAGCGTTCTTGTTCATCCCTTCAGCCTTTTCAATTTTTTCTCTTCTCACAACTTTCCATTCCTTATCCACTGCTACTTCTACTGTGTTTGTGTGAATCGCTACTTCCGTTCTTATTTTCATTTTCTTTTATTTCTATTTTTTCTCTCTTCACTCTCGGTATTCTCTCTTTCTCTTCCATCCATTTTCATTTTTTCATTTTTTTCACTGCCTCTCACTTCCTTGCTGCTATTGTTAAAATTTGTGTGAATCGATCTATGGTGCTTTGATTTTTGCAGTTTTATGATTTGAAGGTTTCTGTTGATTTTTGTCGTTTTGTGATTTGAAGGGGGTGCTCTGTTTGTACGAATCAACTTTAATTTTTGAAAGAGAAAACCCTAAATTCTCAGAAGCCATTGTTGTTTGCTTCTTTGAACTGAGTGTGTCAAAGAAAAAAAAAGGATACAACAGTAATTTTATATTTAAAAATTGCTTCTTTATTTTAATATCTAAATGACATTTTTACTTAAAAGCACCTTTTAAATATTACATTTAAATGCAAAATAACTTTGTCTTTTAAAAAAAGCAACTCATAATTTTTTTTTTTAAAGTCCATTCAAACGTATCCTGAAAGCTAAAAAAAAAAGATAAAAATTGTTTGTTAATTACATAAACTTTTTAAAAATATTTAAAATTTCAAGAAAAAAATTATAAAAAAAATTGTAAGAGCTTAAAAAAAGCCTCCTTCCAGAAGCTGTTTTTTTATTTTTTATTATAATTTTTTTTTTCAAAATCTATTTGTTATAACATCTACTTATAAGTATCTTCTAATGTAAAAAATAAAAATAAGAAAATACAAACATGCACTAAGGTTTAAACAAGTTGTGATTTGTTTAAGGTCTGAATTGAGTTCGGTTTGATGAGCTGGATCAGCTCCAAGTGGCTCTTTTTGGATCAAGAGTTTCGGCTGTTTCAAGAAAACTGATGACAAGTCATGTTAACAAAATGGCTCTTGTTCTTGATTGATGCTGTGATCCTCAATATTGATGTCTTTTTCAGTGGGACAAAGCTGCGTTTGGAAATGAATTATTTGTTTGTATAATTGAGAAATGATCCATCCATATTTCTGAATGGGGATTTGGGTGTAAGTACAATAGGAGTGGATATTCTCATACGTAAAAAAATGATCATATAATTATGTTATTTGATCATAATTACTCATTTAAAAATTATACATTTTTTTTTCTTTTATCTCATCGTCAATAAGTAGTTGTGATCAAATAATATTATCACATAATCACTTTGGATCCACTCCCTTTCATACATACTTTTGGTTAATTATTATTATTATTTATAGACACTCCGTTAAGATGGTTGAAATAACGGGTCAGGTCTAATTAAAGATTTTCAAAAAAATTATGATTTTACCGAATATAATGTTGGAGTGGCAACCTCACGTCAAATCAATTGACTTTCTAACTTACAGAAACAAATCAATATTAAAATATGGGAAAAAGATGTGTCATTTTAAACGACACACCTTATATTCTTTCACTCTCACAAAGAGGTGAGATCCACACCTTTAAAACTTTTTCCATCCATTTTCTCTCCCATAATTTATCTCTTTCTCTCACTTAAAATAATACAACTTTATATCCTTCAAAATGATACACACTTTTCTCTTAGAATATTACTTTACTTACAACAAAAAAAAGAATGTTACTTTAGAAAAACGTAACTAAATTATAAAAATATTCAGATGGAAGTAGAGAAAACAAAAATTGAAATATGTTAAAATTTTGCTGTGTTTTAAAATATGATTATGATTTTATTATACTTACTCAATTAAGCATAAATATCTAACTTTGGTGCTTAATAAATAACAAACCAACATAAAAGTTTGCTTTTATATATTAAATTAAATTTAGTTACATTTCTTAATATATTCTTCCTTAAATAATGACACTTGTCTTTCTTAACTTAATTGCTTTAATTTATATTTCTTATTTAATAAACCTGACCATTCTTCCTATCTTCTTCTTTTGTTGATAAAACAAACCTGACTAGTTATAGAATTTTATTTTTTTTGAAAAACGTTACAGAATTCTTTATGAGCTTCAATTATTTAGTACTTGGACAGTTGGACCATAGAAAAACCTTGCAGGAAAAGATGGACTGGGCGTTGAAGTTTGAGAGCAGGCCCAGGCTGTTGCTCGCGAACTCCGTCGGGTTTTCAAATCCTGAAGAACATTGGTCTTGACTCTTGATTGATGAGTGCTTACATTAAAATAAAGGCACACTTGTTATCAAAAAAAAAAAAAAAAAAAGCACACTAATCAATTTGAATTTTCTCGTTTCCATTAGGAACACATCAATATCACGTAATTTTATGTGTATGACTTGCAGGCCCAGGCACAAGAAATTAGTCGATTTAAGTATATAGGATACTATAGAAACATTTAAACATTCTTAAAAATTTTAATCTTGTCTTTATATCATTGATTTTATGTTTAAAATAATATTTTGTTTTATACGCACGTGATCATGTGACGAAACTTTGATTTGCAAAATGACAAAAAGATGACAAAATACAAGGAAAATCAACATGCTTGGTCCTTCATTTATTATTTTTATTATTATTTATACATTCCTTTGTTTATTATTTTTAAGATGTGAATTTTTCTGCATGGTTGGCTGGAATGTGGTGACAATAGTATCGTTAGATTCAAAGGACTCGGACATTTTAAAAAAGGAAAATCAAAGAGAAAAAATATTCACAAACTAAATCAAATTGGAGAAAAAAAAAATTAGTGGTATTTTTTTTTTCTATTCAATGCTATTGGTTTCCGTACATGGGACCAATCTGAAAGCGTGTTTAATTTTTTAAAGCATATCCCATTTTTCGTTTACCTATCAGACATATAATTAGTGTATTACCCATGCGATGTATGGAAAAAAAGATCAAAAAATTTGTCAGCCGCCATAGTTGATTAATCGCAATGCAAATCTTATATTTACAAAAAATCATGTTGCTATTTTATTCTATTTTTCAGGTGAAAAAAATTACAGCATTGACATGGAACTTTACAAATATCATTCACAAACAAAAATCTACTATTCAGAGTGATCAATTATTATGCAAATCAAATATACTTATCTACTCGATAAGTTATGTGAAAAATAAATACGTCATAGTAGACTATGTTAACACGAGGATGGCTATAATAGCCCATATTAATTAATTAGGAAATCAAGTGTAATTAATTAATTAAACATGTTTTACTGGGTGAAATTAAGTATAAGGCTTAATTAAATGAATCTGAGTCACTTTGGAGTTAAAAAGTGTACTCAGTGAAAATTAAGGGGTATAAATGGGTACTGGCAAAAGTACCCAAAATATAAAAATAAAAATAGTAATATTCCTAGAATAATATTCCAGGCTTTTGGGTAAAGTTTGGTAATTATTGGGGTTGAATAGATAGACGAACCAATACCCGCTTAAAGCCACTTAACCTATGTTAAGTGACTAAAAGCCAAAATGAACCCCCATTTCCCACCCATTTCGTCGAGCCAGAAACAGAAAGAAGGAGAAGAAGAAGGAGAAAGAAGAGGAAGGAAGGGAGGAAGAGAGAGAGAGAGACCAAACCTTGATGGTTTTGGATGATTCAAAAGCCTAAATCGCTTAGAATCTCGCCCTCTTTCATAATCCAAGCTTAGTTTTAAGTGGGGAGCTTTGTGTGGTGGGATATTGGCTCTCAAAAATTTGGCCCTTTGGAGAAATTTGGGGTTTTGAGAGTTTCTACCTCCATTGAAGCTTGAGGAGCCATCAATCCTTGGTTGTGTGACCATTGGTGGTAAGATTCTAACCCTTGAACCTCATGATTCCTTGAAATTTGCATGAGTTAGGGTTTGTGAATAGTAAATTGGGATTTTTATGAAATGTAGTTGAATTAGCTATGTTCTAGGAAGAATGGAGCTTAGAGCATGTTATGGAAAATGCTAGGAATGTCATTTAATCGGTGGAAATGAGCCTAGATAGTCATTTGATAATTGTTCATAATATTGGAAAATTCATGCTTGGATTGGTTAGTATTCTAGCATGTTGAACAATTAGTGAGTTGAATGATTGATTGGATCCTTGTGATGTCTAGGATTGAGACATTTGGACCAACCGTGAGTGATCAACCATTGGAGCAAGCTATGGAGCTTGAATAGCTCATTGGAATTGGTAAGCTCATACTTGGTTGATAGCTATGAGATGTTATTGGATGCAATATGTGTTGATTGCATTACATCATGTGTAGGTGTATGTTTGTAAAAGCTGATTGCTGAAACTGTTGGTGAAGAACAAAGGTTGACTGAAGCATTGAGGTAAGCCTTCGGACCTTGGGTGTAATTCCCTTGACTGTTCTACCAAGCCCTGAAAGGGTGGAGGTTGTGATTGTGTATATAAATGCAATAAAATAGTGTAATGCTTTGTTATACGTATGTGTATGCATTTGGTGTGGCATAGGATGGTGTTTCCCTATGTTGGTATGTGGCATGACGATGCGTAAATCATACTTGGTAGTTAGCTGGCCAGTAGGACTATTTGCATCTGAGTTTCCTTAGGACAGCTTGAGAGCTCGAGGGATTTCTCCTGGAGATGTATTGCACTTTGCATAGATATGTATTTACTGCATTATTATTGTTATTGCTATTACACTGATATGGAACTGTGGGGTGGAGAGATGCTCCAAGGACCCCTGGTTTACTGGATATATTCGTATATCTCACCCCGTGTTGTGGGGACCCCCTTTCAGGTAAGGATGCTGCAGGAGCCTCTGGTGGCAAGTGGCCATACCTAGATTATGCATGAAATATGGCACTTCTTTGAGTTTATGCATGCCTTTTGTAGTTGACATGTATAGGATTTTATTTTGAAAGCCCATGATCATTTGTATATCTTGATTCATTGGATGAACTTAGCCTATGCTCATGCCTTTGGTTACACCTTTTGTTGATGGGAGCCAAGGGAATGATCATAGTGTTTTGTAAGCTAAGTTCTATGATTTGTAAAGGATATGTAATGTAAATGATGCCTACTTGGAATTCAATATATGCATGCTTGTTATGTATTGAGTTGTTGAATTGGTTGGGCTGAAAATCAATTAGGTACCCTCTTCGTTTAAACTGGTAAACGATGAGAAAACAAAGGTCATGCTGCCCAAATTCTAGCTAAATCTCATGAGGAGAGGTTGGATGAGTGCTAGGATTTAGTCTTGGGGCATGGACATTTGGGGTTTGTAGTGGGGATGCATTTTCCCCTAGGCTTGGACTTGAGAAATGTGGGAATTGGAATTCCCTGGCAGCGCGCTTGAGCGCCCAGGAGCGCGCCCAAGCGCACTGCTGCCCCTGCGAGTGCCAATGCATTCTGCCTCCTTGCGCTGGAGCGCCCAAGTGGGGGCTTAAGCGCCCAGGGTCGCGCGCTTGAGCGCCCTGGTCCGCGCTTAAGCGCCCTTCGCCACTGAAGGAGGAGATGCTTCTGTCTCTGCGCGCTAAAACGTCCCCGTGGGAGCTTGAGCGCCCAGGATAGCGCGCCTGAGCGCCCTGTTGCGCGCTTAAGCGCCCATCCACACTGGAATGCCTGATGCTTACTGCCTCCGTGCGCTTAAGCGCCCAGATGGAGGCTTTAGCGCCTGATAGCGCGCGCTTGAGCGCCCGGTAGCGCGCTGAAGCGCGCTGGGCCTGTGACCAACACTCTCTTGTGTTGCTCCAAATTGTCCTAACTTGGGCTATAGTGCCCCGATTTGAGCACGGTTTGAAGCCACAGGTAGCTAATGAAGAAACCTACAATATAGTAGAAGATGTGAACTAAATAAGAAGTAAATTAATGATTTAAAAATGGAATATGAACATGATGTTAAGCTTAATTTATCTGTTTCCGCAAGGTAATATGGTTATGATCACGAAATTGGGTATTATAAGTTCGGTACGTTTTAAAATGAAAAATTTATCCGGATTTTAATTGAACCCATGTGATTGTAACTGCGCTTAATATCATAATGCGATGTTAACAAACCGGTTCTAGAACGGGGTGTTACATTTTATGGTATCAGAGCAGTTTCGTCGGAAATTGTTAAGTATGCTTAGTGTTTGATGCTTTATAGTTGTTTTAGTACTCTTGATGATTATTGCATTTGTGATCACTAAGTGTGGGCCTGATCAACTCACTTCTTTGTGTAACATGTGTAGTGACATGACGAGGAACCGAAACAACCCCGGACCATCTAACACCAATGCTCAGCCAGAACCTGTTTTGGCTACTCTTGTGAGGCCTAGAAGTGGCCGTGGGGCAACGGGCGTACCGCCTGATCCCGTGGCTGAAGCTCTTGCAGCCGTTCAGAGAGAGTTGGCTGCTAGCAGGCAAGCCAATGAAAATTTGTTAAAGACAAATGAAGACTCGCGGACTGCTATGGCCGCGATGATGACCGAGCTGAGGACGTTGAGGGGTCCTAGGCCCGTGAACCGGCAACCCGCTCCTCCTCCTCACACTGCTACGCCTTCTCCACCTCCGTCACAGGAAGAGGGTGGAGTGGGTAACAATGAGGGTGAAGGTAGTCACCACTCTGGGAGTCTGAGTCATCACACCGAGGTTCGTCAACCTCAAGTTGAAAATGTCGGTGATCATGAAATGGAGGAAAGGAGATTAATGGCTTTCCGAAAACATAAACCTCCTTCTTTTAAGGGAGGTTATGAGCCAATGGCGGCTGCAAAATGGCTCCAAGCTATGGAGAAGATATTCAGGGTGATGAGGTGCCCTGACGCAATGAAGTTGGCTTACTCTGTTTATATGCTGGAAGAGGAAGCAGAAGATTGGTGGACAAATACCGTGCAGCCATTAGAAGCTGAAGGTCGGGAGATCACATGGCGGTTATTCGAGACATTGTTCTTGGATAACTACTTCCCTAGAGAGGCTAGGGAACAAAAGCAGAATGAGTATAACGATCTCAAACAAGGGTCGATGTCTATTGACCAATACTTCTCAAAATTCAATGAGTTGGTGAAATACGCCAACTATGGGCGAGCCTTACCCACCCCGGCTGAAATGACCTCCAAGTTCCAATGGGGTCTTAATGAGAAGATGTCTCGGAAAATGTCAAATTGTGACATCCGAGAGTTCAGTCGGTTTGTAAACCAGTGTAGAAAGGTGGAAGAAGTGTATAAGGTGTCCCAAGCCAAGAAGTCTTCTGAGGCCCAGACACCTAGTTCCAATAAAGCAACGGGCGCAGGTTATTGGAAGAACAAGAAGGTGCAAGGCAAGAAGCTGAATGCGAATAAGCCCTTTGACTTGTTCAAAAAACCCGGTACTCAGAAGAAGTTTGTTGATAGAGGACCTCCTCCCAAGTGCAAGGGATGTGGCAAAGAGCATAGAGGTCCATGTGCTACTGGTGAGGTGATTTGCTTTAAATGTGGAAGATCCGGTCACTACTCCAGGCAGTGTCCTCAGAATGAAGCAAGGACTATGGCAGTTCAAGCTACTGCTGTTCCGGTCTCTGTTGTTCAACCTATGCTAGAGTCTCAGACGGTTGGTAGAGTATATACCATGGACCGTCAACAATCGGAGAAGGCTCCGAATCTAGTGAAAGGTACAATTTACATTGATAATAAGGATGTTGAAGTGTTGTTTGATTCAGGAGCTACACACTCCTGTATGTCTGATTTTATGGCCGTTGGGCTAAATTTGCAAATGTATGACATTCGCCCTCCAATGAAAGTGGTTACTGCTACTGGAGAGGAGTGTTATACATCCGTGTTGTGTAAAGATGTTGAGTTCAAATATGAAGGCCGAGATTACGTGCTGGATTTTATTTGTTTACCTATGATCAGCCTTCAAGTTATCTTGGGTATGGACTGGTTGTCAAAGAACTGTGCTATGATAGACTGCTGCGGTAAAAGGATTGTGCTTGATGCTGATGATTCTGCTACTAGTTCTTCCCCATATCTATCTGTGTTGCAGGTTAGAAAGGCTTTGAGGGCCGGGGCATTGGGATATGTCTTTGTGGGGGGTTTAGTAGGCGGAAGTCATGAGGAGATTGGCACTATTTCCGTGGTGAGGGAGTTTGTGGATGTGTTTCCAGATGAAATTCCACAACTTCCGCCTCATAGAGAGATTGAGTTCACGATTGATCTGTTGCCTGGTGTGGGGCCTATCTCTCTGGCTCCGTATAGGATGTCACCACCGGAATTAGCCGAGTTAAAGAAGCATATTGAAGAGCTTTCGGCTAAGCAGTTTATCCGGCCAAGTGTGTCCCCGTGGGGAGCACCAGTCATATTTGTTAAGAAGAAGGACGGTAGCATGAGATTGTGCACTGACTACCGTCAGTTGAATAAGGTTACCATTAAGAACAAGTATCCTCTCCCTCGCATAGATGATTTGCTTGATCAGTTGAGGGGTGCTTGTGTTTTCTCAAAGATTGATTTGAGGTCGGGTTATCATCAAATCCGAATTAGGCAGGAAGATATTCCGAAGACTGCCTTCCGATCTAGATATGGACATTATGAGTATCAAGTAATTCCATTTGGACTCACTAATGCTCCTGCGGTGTTTATGGATTACATGAATCGCATATTTAAGCTGTTTCTGGATCAATTCGTGATTGTGTTTATTGATGATATCCTGATATATTCGAAGAGTAAGGAAGAGCATGAAGGTCACTTGAGAACTGTGTTGCAAATTCTCAGAGAGAAACAGTTATATGCAAAGCCTTCTAAATGTGAATTTTGGCTTTCTCAAGTGCAATTTCTGGGTCACGTTATCTCTGCTGATGGAGTAGCGGTTGATCCTAGCAAGATAGAGGCAGTTGTTGATTGGGAAAGACCCAAGACAGTAACAGAAATAAGAAGTTTTCTGGGTTTGGCTGGTTATTACCGGAGATTCATTAAAGAATTTTCAGCCATGGTGTTGCCATTGACCCGTTTGACCCGGAAGGATACTCCATTTGTTTGGACACAAGAATGTGAAGAATGCTTTCAGAGCCTTAAGGAGAAACTAACGACCGCTCCGGTGTTAGTACTTCCCGACCCGGAAGGTGAATTTGAGCTATACAGCGATGCTTCCAAGAAGGGATTGGGATGTGTACTGATGCAAGATAGGCGAGTGGTAGCTTATGCATCGAGGCAATTGAAACCGCACGAAGAAAATTATCCGACCCATGACCTTGAGCTTGCTGCAATTGTTTTTGGGTTGAAACAGTGGAGGCATTTCTTGTATGGAATGCAATTTGCAATATTCAGCGATCACAAGAGTTTGAAATACTTGTTTGATCAGAAGGAGCTGAATATGAGACAACGACGGTGGACCGAGTTCCTAAAGGACTATGATTTTGAATTGAAATATCATCCTGGTAAGGCTAATGTTGTAGCGGATGCACTGAGCCGAAAATCCGTGAGTATATCAAGCATGATGATCAGAGATTATGATGTGATTGAGAGGTTCAGAGATATTCAATTATCTAAGATCTTTCCATGTAAAATTTGTGGCTTTGAAATCACGAGCATTGAGAATGAACTGATGACCAGAATCAAAGAAGCCCAGCTGCAAAATGAAAGTGCTAGACGACTAAAAGGTCAGAGTGGTGTATCCTGCAATGATGAGGGTATACTATTATATCAGGGTCGTGTAATTGTACCTAGGCAGTTGGCGGAAGAAGTGATGACAGAGGCTCATAAGGGTCATTTTACAGTTCATCCGGGAGCTACAAAGATGTATCAGGACCTAAAGATGAATTTTTGGTGGCCTGGTATGAAGAAAGACATTGCCGAATTTGTCTCTAAGTGTATCATTTGTCAGAAGGTAAAGATTGAGCATCAAAAGCCTTCTGGTATGTTACAACCTCTGGATGTTCCTGAATGGAAATGGGAGAGTATCTCCATGGATTTCGTAGTGGGATTGCCGCGAACACAGGCTAGTTATGATTCTATATGGGTGATTGTGGATAGATTGACAAAATCCGCACACTTTTTGCCAGTTCGGGTAGATTTCTCTGCGGAGAGATTGACTAGGCTCTATGTGAAGGAGATTGTGAGGCTTCATGGGGTGCCTGAGAGCATTGTTAGTGATCGGGACCCGAAGTTCACTTCTCGCTTCTGGGGAGCATTGCAGGAG